TTATTATTATTATTATTATTATTATTATTATTATTATTATTATTATTATTATTATCATCATTATTATTATTATGTTTAAATGAATTCAATAGAATTTTTTAAATTTTCATGTGAATAAAAAAATTGAGTAATTAAAATTGATTTCCTGGATTTAGCGAAAAATAAAAAAGAAAAGTTGAAAATTGGGCTGAATTTTTTTTTCCCGTTTTTTGCTCGCGTAATGAACAATCCGGTGTTATTTGTCAACACGAGGCAATTTATCTCCCGTCGAGACGTAAAAACAGACAGATATTTTCCAACGTAATTCAGAAACTCCCGAGACACCAAAATGTTGTCGTTTTTACCTGACGTCAAACACTAAAAAAAATTCCTCTGGCACTCGAGCTTTCACCGGAAATGAGAAATGTACGAGATAAGAGTGAAATATTAGGTGAAAAATTGGGATGAGACATTAAATACATCGACCAATTCCCAAAAAAAAAAATCGGTTAATGATCATCGCCTCAAAATTGTTTCGCATATTTTCGAAGATATAAATTCACACCACCGTTTTGTGGTTATTAATTATTAAAGTTGCCAATTAACATAGCCTATTATCGTGAAAATAAAAATCTCAATAAATATAAAACCAAATATAAATTTTGTTCAAATTTTGAAAATTAACTATTCAACTGAAGATTGACAAATTTTTTTTTTCATTAATTTGTTTAAACAATATAATATTCACTCATAAAATCAAATGCAATATAATAATTTTCTATAGTCATTACTTCAAGTAATTAACGCCTTGAAATATTAATTGAAAATTAATTGCAATAAATATAACGAAGGGTCATAAACTTTTGTTTTGACTGTACGTGCAGAGCCCCCTTAATCCAAATTTTGAACTTGTCAATTTTTCAATATAAAAACCGAGTGTCTGATCAGGAAATAGCAGTGGAAATCGACTTCTCTCCCGTTTCCGGTAGCGGACGCAATTTATTATCATTTTCCCCTCAAAATGCCATTTTTCACGCTCAATTATTCCCCCAGAGCGTTATCTCCCCGTGGAATTCAGGGACTCCAGTGAAAACTAATTAATGAACAACGAAAAAAATGGTGTGTACCATTCCACTCGATTGAATTGAAAATTCTCAGAATTTCCTGTATGAAAACAAACGGGAAATTTACACCGCTATCTGGCGATACTGTTATCACTAAAACCAGGCGAACGTTTGATATCTTCAGCTGTAAACCCGATGTAAATGCATTAATGCCGCGGATAAATATGTAATGTCCTTCGACGATGATGTCCACGTCAATATTGACCTCCGGCCAAAATATTCCGTTTGACAAATATAAATCAAGAGACACCCACGAATCGATGGAGAATTAATTGACATAAACAAATGGTCGAGGAACTTTTCAGTCGGTTTTCATGATTAAACATCAATATTATCAATTAAATAATCAATTGTGCAGAGAAATTGAAACGCAATTGAACATCATGAAGCAAAGAGGATTATCCTGAAGAAAGGATTTCCAGAAATACAAGCTCTATCACAGGATTTCAATTATTTCTCTCCATTTTTTTGACGGATTACTTCCGGACAAACACGAATGTTCACTTCCATTCTGATTGATCCCGATTGATTTCAATTGATTCGGCAGTGAAAAAACAGAATCAATGAATTAATCAATGGATTAATTAAAGAGAAGAGAAGAGAAGAGACAGGATTTACATTTTTATCGCATAAATTGTTAGTATTCACGGGTATCGATATTGATCGATTGATGTTATAAATAGGACTCGAATCGGGGGTGTGAGCACATTTTCATCTTGAATTTCATCTTGAAATTCCCGAAAGTAATCCGAATCAAAAAGTTTTGCACGCTTGACTTTCGGTCTATTATCGTCTCGCAAATACCGCAGTTTATTCTCCCCTAGGAGAAGTTGCACGAGCCATTACGAAACTTGGATTCAACCTGTCTCGATGTATCCACGTGTACTCAAGTACTCGGGATATAAAAAATTGTAATTGGAATATTTTCTCCAAATTTTCAAAAAAAATTCAGGAAATCTTTTCAGAAAATTTTTTTTTTGATACAAAAAAATTGTCTTTTTGGGAAACGTTTTGAAAAATTTTTCTTTTTTCCAAGTTTTTCTTTTAATTTTCTAGAAATTTTTGCGAATATAATTTTTTTTTTAATTATACTGTTGTTTTCTCACTTTTTTGATTTTTAAATATTCTCCTAAATATTCAAATTTTTGAAAAATTTTTCAAAACCTTCTCCAAAAATTAAAATATTTTGTTTTCGGATTTTTTTTTTGTTTCAAAAAAAATTTCTGAAAAGTTTTCCAGAAATTTTTTGAAAATTTGCAAAAAATATTCCGATTACAATTTTTTTTTACCCGTTTCGACGATCTGTTTCATAATTTCTCATTCCACTCGTAATCAATCCCGAAACCTTGAAATGTCACTTCACCAACTCAATTGACATTTTTTCCATTCACCCATACAATTATTCCCCATTCACTCCTCAATTAATTTCCAATTCCAATAATCGATAATAATTATTATTATCAATATCATTAATGCAACGTAATCATTTTTATTTAATATAATTGGAAGATTATTGTTGTGAAATAAAATTCAGTTTTGATTGACATAATTCATTTTTCCTGGCGCACGTCATGCTGGATTGAATTTATGTGGATCACCGAGTACTTGGCAGATAAAGCAGACAAATAGTTCAATAAAAAAATGACCGAAATGTTGAAGGGGAGAGTGGAAAGGGAGATAAGTTGATGCCAGGTATCGATCGTACCTCGATGTTTACCCGTTCGATCGTTACATTCTAAAGTGGAACAACGACCCAGGAGAAGGCGTTGAACCCCCCGCATAGAGAACATCCGGTTCCCTCTGTTCCGCAAACTCATCATTTCGTTTCCGCTCTCGCCTCTCCGGGGACAACCCTCTATTTCTCTTTCTTCACGGATTTTCACTCCCATTTATTTTCCTCTCCATTGGAATTTCGAGGACGTCAACATCAATTGGAGGACGAGATTCCGCATTCTTATATTTTTATTATTATTTTTATTTCCTCTTCTGTGGTGCTGCCATTAATTAAGGGGTGCCTCGGGTGCTCTCGGTGGGGAAAAAATTAGTTTCATCTAGTTTCACGCAAAAACCACTTTATTCCTCTTCCTTTGAGCCCAGAAACACCTGCATCATAATTACGAGACTTTTTTTTTTAACCCGCGGTTTTTTTTTTCCTGGAGTTTCTGCGGCTTTTGGCTGCGGTGGAACCCCTGGTGGTCATGTTTCAGGAGTTGGGATTTTGTAATGAAGTCCAGGGGTTTGAGGTGAATCCACTTTGGCGAGTGATGAAGTCCAATAAAGCAGCCGATTTAGTTAATACCTCATTTTCCAGGGAATATCTTGGAATCTTACGGAGATAGCGAATTTTTTGTTGAAACCTTTTTTACGTGGTTTTTTATTCCCCACAAAAGAGGTCTTGATAACAATTTCGCTATCTCTCTTGCGTTCAGAGATATTCCGCGAATACTCCGCTGACATCGTACCTTCATCTCTTTGCTAGTGAATTCTTGCTCTCATTTCAAGTTTCCATCAGCTACTCACCCCTTCCTCGTGTTTTCCACCTATATATTACGTACATGAGATGCACCTGAGACCACCGAGCCATTCCCCTATTTCTCGAGTCACGAACGCCACGAAATTCCAAACTGTAACACCTGTCCCCGAGTTTATGAAGTCAGATGAGTCATTTTTTTTTTCTTAAATATAGTGAAGCTCTTGGGGAGAGGTGCAGTCAGGGGATTGGCTTCTCGAACTTCGGAGGGAATTGATTAATTCGACGACTTCTTTCCCCGAGAAATAACCACTTTTCAGGCTTTCGAATTCAGGAGATCGTGGAAACGAATTGAAATAAAATCCCTCCCCAGGGACTAGAGAACATTGATCCGCATTTGACTACGAAATTCCGATTTAAATTCAGAGAAATTATTCCAACGGAATACTAATGGTCCCTGAAAAAATTGTGGCGCATATTTCGAGGGTTAAAGCACCGGGTCTGACGAAAAATGGACTTTTCCCCTGACACTTGTCATTTTTATTTCGAAATTCCATTTAGTCGGGATTTCAAAAAAATCCAACGGTCCACTGAACCCCATAACGGAATTACGTACACGCAAATAATCCGTGAATGTATTCATCTGCACCAGTGGAATGATCGCAATGAGAATCATTTCTCCTCCCCGTAATTACCGAATAAATATAAACCCGGGGGTAAATTCAGGGGATTTACCCGTGAGCCTCAACTATTTTCCAATTTCCCGCAAGAAATAGAAAAAAATATATTTAAAATCCCCGCCCTCGACCTGCACTCTATTTTCCATTTTCATTTAAAGAAGTGCCACCGGTTTTCAACCTCCATCGCCCTTTCCTCAATTACGGGGTATTGTATTTAATTTTTCGCCGTTCATACCCCGATCCATCACAATTTTCCGGACAGGCGAATCCCAAAAATTCCGCAAAACTCCAACGAAATTAAAGGTATTACACTTTATCGCGAATTTTTCTAGCATCCGCAGTTTGTTCGCCATTTTTTTTTGCCCGTTCCACTAATCAAACCATCAAAGATACTATTGTCTAAAAAATCGATCCATTTGTGCACATCCCCTCCCCCCAGTGTACGTACGAAGTAATTGAATAGCCACGGAAATTGAATTTCTCCGGCGAACGAAAAAAAGGGAATGATCAATGGAAAAAATTGAGGCATCATCACCCGAGCCCAGAGAATGAGTTAAAAAAAAAAAGAAAATTACTAGGGGATCCCCGAACGACTGGACAAACACGACAGGTTCTCGGGACAGTTTATTTTGTGAGGATAAACTCGAGATCGAGATAATTTCGTTATGACTCTTTTCCACCCCTCTCCCACGACGGGGGAAAAATCGAATGACTCGGGGAAAAAAAAAAGAAATGAGTGGAAAATGCCTCGACTCCCCGGGAAACCCTTGGAAAACCTCGTTCTCACATTTGCAGGAGAAATAGTTCCACCCGGGGTTCTCTCTCAAAATGTTGCGAACACGTGCGGCAAAATAATCCCCTCGATTGGGGGTAAATAGAATTTTTTTTTTCTCGGGGAAGGGGTTCGTGCGAAATAGCATTCCCCACGTCGTGCGATTGACGCAGTCAGTATTTTTTTTACGTCTAGATTGGGAGAAAATTCCGATTAAATTGCAAATTGACGGTTGAGGCTGCGAATCTCGATTTTACAGGTTTTTCACGACTCCATTTGTCGAGGGGCTGATAAAATTGGTAAAGAAGTTTCTCGGTTTATCTAAAATTCTTATCGGATCCCAAGAAAAAGAATTTATTCACTTTTTCTTTTGTCAAAATCATTCTTTTTTTAGTGATAATACCGGCTTCATTAAAATCGGATTGCCGGTCAAATTTATTTAGTTCCCCCCCATTTAAATCGTTATCTCATAAGATTAAGAATTTAATTGTTGTTTATATTGAAATATAAATAAAAAATACCTGAACTCCTACCCGGGTTCAAAAAAGTTTTAGAGAACTTTCCAGAAATTAAAAAAAAAAAAATCGGAAATCTGAACAATTTTATTTTTGGGAAAAGTTTTGAAAAATTTTAAAAATAGGACAATTTTTTTATAATTTAGATGGCATATTTTTTGAGAATATTGAAAAATCGAAAAAGCAAGAAAACAACAGTATAATTAAATTGAAAAATTATATTCGTAAAAAGTTCTAGAAAATTATTTTCAAAATTGTCCGAAAGAAATTTTTGAAAAACTTTTCAAAACATTTCTCAAAAATACAATTGTTTTGTTTCCCGATTATTTGTTTTGTTTCAAAAGAAAAATTTTCTGAAAAGTTTTCCAGACATTTTCCGAAAATTTGGAAAAAATATTCCGATTACAATTTGTTTTTGCCCGGGCAGAAACTGACGATTTCACATTCGTTCAATCAAATTATTATCAAATTGACTAAAAAAGTGTGAGGATTAAAATTTCTCTGAGAAAAATCTCCGAGGAAATAATTTTATCAATTAATTTGAATAAAAATTCCATAAAATTTTATTGAAAAAAATGATCTCCAACAATATTAAAATAAATAAATAACTTTGAAAAATGTGGTGAAAAGGTTGGAGTCAGGTACCGACGCTTTATTCCTGGAGAATATCGAGTCTTGGATATCCCCCAGCGATTCCAATTTCCGAGATAGTAGTGTGAGGTACTCGCAGGCAAATCCGTGTAAATCCTCTGAGTACTGGAGCCAGTCACGGCCTCCCAGACCCCCTCATCCCCTTTGAATTCAACACAGCGATATATCGAACGAGAAATGACTCGTTTAACATCCGCGTGACCACGCATGCGAACGCATCTCCAGCACCTGAATAAACGACACGTACATCCCCTTTTTATTCGCAACCTTTTGACCCAGTCAACGTTGGACATTAACATTTTTTCTTCCACCTCACATATTTCTTTCATCGGCAAAACGCTTTTTTCATGGGCTTTTTACAATGCTCGGGATTCACCCGAGCGGAAGGGAATTCTCGGGGGAATTTACGAGTTCCTCGATTCCCCCGGAATTCTTTCATTCAACAATCTTCCCCGCTCGCTGTCAATTTCATTTATGAACGGTTGAAGTTTAAATTTTAAACTTCAATTTCACCCTGGTAGCACGCTGTTACGGGGATTATTTTAAAACGGGTTTCAAACGGCTTTAAACTTTGACATCGTTTTTTTTTTTTAATCACCTTTCCTCACTATTTATTCCAGGCCACAATTGCGGATGATGAAGAGCCGACATCAATTTCGCAGACGCTTTAGTCTGCAGCCTTCCTCGTCCCTCAAGGAGGAGCAGGAGGCACCACCGAGGACATCCATCAGGTACACCAACTTTATTTCTCGGTTTAATTACTTGGAGATGATGCTTCATGAGGGAAAAAAGGCCGCGAAATTAAAAAACGGACAGTTCGACTCTCTCAGGTTAACGAGTTCTCCACTGAATTCATTTTTTTTATTCGTTGAAAGGAATAGCAAATGCAATTGCATTTTGGGAGGATGACAATTATTCATCCGATTTTATCTCTGCGTGAAGTAGATTTTAGATTCTTTTCCCCGTGTGAATAAATCCTTTCGTTACTCCAGGTATTCCGTGCGATTCTCCCATAAAACGTAATCACCCTCGACATCAAATTCTCTCATGATTACTTCATCCAATAGAGAGTGATACGGTACCTGTCCCTCGTCCCGCGATTCAATGGAAACATCGATGAAAGATACCCAGTCGTTCCAAGATTGAAGTACCTTTCAGTGAATAAAAAATCCATCTTGACTCAAGTGTCCACTAATCCTCCATCGAGAGTAAGGCCGTATTACCGTCATTATCTGCACGTCATACTCTGTTCGTTGGAGATGCTGAGGATGTGGACGGGATCGGCTTTGGGTGGAAGAAGAAGCCGAGTAACGACGCACGTCGTTATTATAATCCACAGCCACTCACGTGAACATCCAAGAGGCTCAAATCTCCAGTCTACTAAATTACATTGAAGCTAGCTGGTGGAAAATTGAATGCAGTCAACTAGGTTGAGCACAAGCTCCTGTAAACCGTGATATTATTAATCTTTAATTCACGGAATTTTTAATTTTTAATAGAAACTTCTTCGCGCTATTTTACTCTCGGGAAAGTTCGGCTTGCGCTCGTGCGCGTCGATTCACTCTCCGAAAGCTTCGGCTTGCACTCGCGCGCGTGGATTCACTCTCGGTAAACTTCGGCTCGCGCTCGTGCGCGTGGGTTTACTCTCGGAAAGCTTCGGCTCGCGCTCGTGCGCGTGATTTAATCTCGTGGAGCTTTGGCAGGGGATTTATCAACTCATTAAAAATCGCTTCAATTATCCTCGACAAAGGGACTCAATTAAAAGAGGTTCATTAGTCTTTCGGAAAATACTGGGCGCAGATCGATGAAAAACGTGATGTACTCGAATGAAAATAAGAAAAAATAAGAGTCATGCTGAAAAAGCGCAAATTGAGAGCTTTAATTACAGGCACCTGGTGTGCGTTAATTCACGGGGAAGGGGTTCCGCGGCCTCTGGCACTCCGCGTAGAGTTCCACTAATCAATTAAAACGGGTTGAGCGAGCTCGATGCCAACCTTGAGGAGAAGTGTCTATTCAACTTGCACCAGTCCCTTAATTTATATTGAAATTGAAAATTGTTGGTTGTATTATTTTTAACCGGCAAATCTCGATGAATCTCTCTAATTAATTCATAAATTACACCGTCTTTTGAATTCTCAGGGAAGAACGACTCTCGGAGTCGGACAACGGGGAAAAGTCCAATGACACCCCGGCGAAGCATAAAATAGTCGTTATGGGAGCGGCTAAAGTTGGCAAATCATCAATAATAAATCAATTTCTGTACAACACATTCTCGCCAAAGTACAAGAGAACGGTCGAGGAGATGCACTGCGGTGACTTTAATGTTTCCGGAGTTCAATTGACCCTAGACATATTGGATACATCAGGCACTAATGACTTTCCAGCAATGCGAGAATTGTCAATAAAATCGGCCGATGCATTTATTCTCGTTTACGATGTCAATGAGGCCAGTACATTCGCGGAAGTTGAGGCACTGAGGTCAACAATTCTCGGAACCAAAGGGGCTGTACCAATAGTTGTCGTTGGTAATAAGATCGATCTGATCATGGAGAGTGACGATTCCGAGGGCGAAGCCCAGGTAAAATTCACGGTTATTTTTCCATGAAGAGACAAGCTTCACCCACTCAGAGTGAAAAGATGATTTTTTTTTAGTTCTCCCGATAAAAGAAAAAAATCGATTTTCTTTTCAGGTGGATACAGAACGCACACGTGAACTAGTTGTAACAGAATGGGAGAATGGCTTTGTGGAAGTATCAGCTAAGGACAATTTGAACATCACTCAAGTATTCAAAGAGCTCTTGGTACAAGCCAAAGTCAAATACAATTTGAGTCCTGCATTGAGGCGTAGGCGACGCCAATCACTACCACCACCTCATCATCACAATTCACGTACAAGCAGTGCACATGTGCCATCACCAGCCCAACTACAGCATCTCCACCAGATTCGCGAGCGTTCTGGTGGTAAAAGAAATTCGTGTATTCTCTCCTAAGAGTAGAATAATTAAATGGATCTCAGACTTGATGGGTATCAGGAGGAAATTAATATTTCATTTGTCAATTAACGAGTAAAAATCCAAATTGAGGAATAGCGTTTATCCAAGAGGGAATTTTTCTATTGATTTTATTTTATCGTCTCATTACGCTGATCAAAGCTAATTGCTGACTCAATGCAGACGATTTTCTCTCTTTACGAATGATTGTGGAAACATTTAACAACCGAATGACTGAAGCACAGAATCCAATTGGTCAATTCAAATTTCCTAATGAGTGGGTGAATATTTTTTGACTCAACTGTACACAAATCGATCTCATCAATGGTAGATATTAATTTTCTGGATAATTAGTGGAAAATCAAGAGATTTGCTGTCAATTACACTGAAAATTATTCCGTTACTTGTAACTTATTTGTGGACGAATGGAAAATTTTGTCTGTGATCGAGTGAAACTAAAAAATGTCAATCAACTGTGAGTAATTGTAAACAAATAAATGCCTAGCTCCTCGAATCTCTAGTTAACAATTAATGAATTCATAATTACGGTAATGAGAGATTTCATTCCAGAATAACTCGATAAAAGTCAAAATAGCATGAGTGGAGAACATACAATTAACGCAATAATCTACCTTTGTACTTAATTAAAAATCGTTTACGATAAAATGCCTTTCAACGCTCTTCTCAATGTAAAATCCAATTACGTAATGGAAATGTGTGAATAATCTTAGGTATTCCTCCTGTACACTGTCCTATTCGTCATAAATAATATAAAGACAGTATTAAATAATAAATTCCAGTCATGTATGAGGTGAAATGAAAATAAACGAGAGCTTCAGGAAATTATTTCCTTTTTTTTAAACAATCCCATGACTTTTCCCGAATTTGGTTTTTTCTCAGACAATTTTCAACAGAATTTTATCATTATTATTCAATAATTGAATATAATTGCTCCTTTTTTTAAATATTATCTCTTTTCTTCAGAATTTCGTTAATTAAAAAAAAACCTGTCGATATGAATTAAATTATGACGAAACGAATTTTGAACCGATTTTCTTTAGAACAGATTGCAAAATTTATTTAACAAATTTATTTATCAATCGATCATCGACCCGCACCTGCAAAATTCGCGATCATCATTACCGACAGCCGGTGAACTCCCCGAAATGTCGTAAAAAAATTCTAAAAATAACCCCAAGCTTTCAAAAATACCTGTTGAATCCCAAAATAAATTGCACCACTGATATCTTGTTTTCTCTCTCAATATTATTTCCAACAATTTACACAACGACCTCTGGACATTCCCCAGATGCCAGCGACCCCGCCTCCGCCCCCCACCTAATCAATTAGCGTTATCAGCGAATTAAAATGACCGATCTCTCTCGGAAATCGTGCGATTTAATTTTAGATCCTGTTGTTCTAGCGTCGAAAAATTCTCCGATGTTCTCCCCTCCGCGGCATCATTTCCCAACCTCCGATCCCCTCCCAGATGTTACGCACCCGGGAGTCAAGTAAAAGCCAAGCGGATCCAGTCTTGGATCGCAGCTTGATCCTCATCGATAGTATTGTCGTTTTTATTTACAAATACTATTGCACATCCACCGGAACAAAAATCCCAATTCTCACCACTGAATTCCGGTGGGAATTCACTGACGGAGTTGAATCGAGTTATTCGGTTGTGATAAATTGAAAGGGCACTTTTGATTAATTCGGTCGACTCCGGTCGACTCCAGTTGACCCACGATGATCGCCTCAAATGAATTTATCGGTTCGTATCAGTCTGCAATTTTCACAAAAGAAAACGAAAATATAATAAAGTTACATGTACAAAATTAAAACCAAAAATTATTCTATATTATATTTAAACTCCACGAGATATTGAACGCAATTGATATTAAAAATTGAATTATTTTTTTAATTGAAAATTAACTTCAAATAAAAACAATAGTACTTTTTTTGCTGATTAAATTCCGGAGAAAAAGGCCTGTCAATATTTTCTTTTAAGATCAATGGAGTTCAATAAATCTGTGAAATTCGACTTAACAAAAAATTTTTATTATTAATTACCTATTACTGGGAATTTACGGGAGCATCTGTTTCTATCCAAAAACGGAATTCACAATAGACGAGAAAAAGCCGTGAACCGACGAGTGGTATTTAATTCGCGGTAGTGTACGATTGCTCATCACAATTGTAAATAAAACACGCGTGGTCATTGTTACTGCAATTGTGTAAGTGTACAGCAAGTGTCCAAGTCGCAATTAAACTGGAGGCGACCTTCCGTCACTCGTGACGTTAACTCAATTAGAGACAGATAAACTAAATGAGTGCACAAGTAAAAAGTGAATTATTTCAATAAAGAAAAAAAAAGCCAATGGACTCGTGATATTCGAGAGTTTGAGGTCCACCGGATGCGCATGGAGGGAAAATGGAAACGCGTCGTAGGATTTAAAAGGAAAAAAAAATTGGAAATGAAGGTAATTCCATTTTTCTCAATTCCGAGGACAAGTTATTTCAAGTTTTACGAGTATTTGCTCATTGGGAGTGCCGGGGTGATTAGGCCAAGACGATAACGCCTTATCAAAGACTTTGTTGACGTCGAACTATATTTTATGTTCGGAATTTTTACAAGGAATTGAGAGCCCACCGTTTAAATATTTTCCCTCAATTTTCCAGGTTTTTGGCTTCGAATAGAGAATAAAAATTCAGGTCATGTGAATTATTCCATAAAAAATGACTGCTAGGGATATTCAAGGAAAAATCTCCAGAGAATTCTGTGATTTTTTGAGAAATTCAGGGATTTATTTCAATGGTGGGATTTAATTTCCATGAAGATCATTGGAAAATGTGAAAAATTTCAGATGCAGTGGATGTGCCTCTTGGTCTGCCTGTACGCGGGTATGGTATCAGGTCGGACCGAGGAAGATCAGGCATCCCTATCAGGGGCGAGTACCGAGATAAGGGTGGGACTTCCACCCCCAGAGAGGTGTTTCTATCAGTCCCCGGTGGACTGTCCCGAGATCATCAAACCCGATGATTGTCCCTGCAAGAGAATCCCCATATTTTCTCACACGAGCAACGACGAAAATGCCGTTTACTGCTGCAATTTGAGCGCCAAGAGCTTCGAATTTGGTCTTGCATGCGCAAGTAAATGATTTTTCAATATTCCCTCTCGTATTTTGCCTGAATTTACCTCTAAAAATCCCTGGAACCCTAGACTAACGCTGAGATATTCCCCAGAAATGAAGATATTAAGATTATCTCTCCAGAAAATAAATTAATTACATAAATATAATTAATTGCGCAGACTTTCCATCGAACGTTTCCTACATTCATATAAGAAACGCAACTCTGGACGTGTTTAATGTGTCAGAGGTGAAATGGAGACGACTGAAGTCTCTAGCAATAACTGATGGAAGGATCAATCGAGTAAAGGGTCAATTTCTCATGATGACCCCAACTCAGTGTCTCAACTTGTCCAATAACGGATTAATAGAGATTGAGAATAATTCATTTACACGACTTGCGCAATTGACGAGTCTCGATTTATCGTACAACAATGTAACGCATCTACCGGCATTGAATACAATGCACGGTCGTGAATTTTGGCTTGACATATCGGGGACAAATACCCTCATGTGTCACGATGTTTATCAGTCTATCAACAAAACTGGAGAGAAACAAATTCATTTTAATAGAGAGGACGAGACACTCTGCTCCACCAGCAAGACCTGGCACTGGTTCAATACCACTGAGCACATGCATCTCAAGCAAGTCCGATATTTAAGTCAGGTGTGTATTAAATCTCCAATAAATTCAATAAATAAAACGAAAAAAACGCTGAGACCGAACCGTACAATTTTCCGTTCGATTTTTCAAAGGGATATCTTCTTATCCGAGGGAGATACGACCATTTTCCTTGGGACATATTTTGTAGGGCGAAACGAGAGCTGCAAAAAAAGTCCTGACGAAAATTTTTTTATCTCTCTTAGAATCCGAGATATCCCAGCAAATATCGAATATCGATAATAATAATCAAATCGAGTTGTTGCTGTCTATATCTTGTTTGCAAAATCATTCTTTTCAATTCCGACTGTTCAGATGATATATCCCAATTGAGTCAACACTCTATTCGTTTCTTTATCTCGATAACTCGGGTATCGATATATTTTTAATGGGACAAAGTGTTGTCGGCGCAATTGACGAATAGTTTTAATCGTTTTAGCTACAATCCGAGTGCCCAAAGGGTGACACTTGGCAATGTCAATGCATGTTCCGACGAATGGATATTGTCTGGGGAAAATCGCCGACTTTAGCTGTGAATGTTGACTGCACTGGCATGCAATTGACCGAATTGCCAGATCGACTTCCACGTAATACGATAGCCCTAAATGTTTCTTACAACAACGTGAGTCATTCCACGTTAAAAATTCCTCACTAATTTCAGTTGATAAACATGAATGGAATAAATTATAAATTGATCGCTTCTACTGAACTATTTCTTTCCGATTTTCATCTCAAGATCACAGCTCTCGATTACTTGAGTACAAATCATTGGTACGAGGACCTCAGAGAGTTCTATGCTGACTACAATAATATCTCATCGATAAACAAACTCGAGGGCTCGAATTTTCTCGATAACTACGCTTTTCTCAGCCTCAGGCACAACAAAATAAAATCCGTGAGTAAACAGAATCGATAATAGTGCGAGTTTTGAATGACAATATTTAATTTTCCAGCTGCCCACGTACATTTTATCTATCAACGGGCCTGATAAGAATTACGCTCTCTCGAAAGCTGTGAAACTTGGAGGAAATACGTTGCACTGTGACTGCAACACGGCAAAGCACCTCAAGGTAAATGAAAAAATATTTCAAAAACTTAGTCACCCATCCCAGATACTTGTTTGTAATTATCCCCAATGTCTCGTAAACTTGATAAATAATTTCCCCAGGGATGGCTGCAGGCTAGAATTCTCGACGCGGACGAAGTTCTCTGTGAGAACGTAAAAGAAAGAGTGACGGAGCTCGATGCCTCCAAAATGTGCGTCTACCCCGGGGACTGGACTGACTACATTTACTACATAATCGCGACTGAGGTCCTCCTCCTGATAAGTCTCATAGCAAAAGTATCCTACGACTACTGGGTATTCAAAACAGCAGGATATCTACCTTGGCCAGCAAATAAAATGCCAAAACTCCCCTGCGACTGGCTGTGCGAGACTTAGGCTTGATATTTTCTATTGAATATGAATCTCAAGTATTCAAAACTCGAAAGACTAAAGCAGATTCATTCAATCGTCCTCAGAGGACACTTTTGACAGGTTTTTTTACTACCAAAACGATATTAAAATGTAGTCCATATTTTTTACGTGAGAAATGAACGATAAATGAGTGAATGTATTTTTTTTTATGAACGTCTGCCCATGACTTCGCAAATTAAAAGTTTATCCCATGGAAATGAAAATACTCTAGTCTGTATTGGCTTCTGGTCTAGATATTCCGCAGATGCTGAACTAAATTCGGTTTATGCAATTTGTAAACTGCATTTTCAATAAAAATTATGTACAATGGAGGCGTTTCGCTTTCTTACCGTGAATGCTGGCGTTGAGTGAGTTTATTGCGGCTTACGTTGTTTAGCTCCGGTTTTTTTCACAGCTCTCGTTTGTTTGGGCTTATGAACAGCTTTGGAGGATTTCTCGGTGAGTCTAGGCACTGATTTCTTGTCTTTTGATTTTGTCACTTTAGAAATTTTCGGAGGCTTTTTGTCACGTGAATTCGTCGATTTTTCACTGAAAAACGCAAAAAAAATGGATTAATACTCGAAGAAGCAATTATTGATTACACAATGGACATGTGGAATTAATGGATAAAATAATTACCTAACATTTCCTCGCCTCTTGAATTTCGGAATCGTAGATATGGAGTCGCGTTTGGGTGCTGCTATCTCCATTTGTTTTCTCTCCCTTTTACTATGTTTCTTCATCGTCAACATATAATCAGGTACTTGGCATCCAGAATCTCTCATGATAGCTGCGATACTCCTCAAATTGGCAGTATCACTCTCAGTGAAAAAAGTTATAGCCTTTCCCCTGTGTCCAGCTCGTCCAGTCCTTCCAATCCTATGAATATAGGAAATAGCTGAAGGTGGAAAATCGTAATTGATTACGAGATTGACGCCCTTGAAGTCGATTCCACGACTCATTAATTCTGTACAAACGAGGACCCATATTTTCCCCTCCCGGAAGCATCTCACGACATTATCCCTCTGAAACAAAAAAAAGAAAACATCAATGAATAAATAATATTCACCATAACTATCCTGTATCGAAATTAATTGAATAAAAAAAATACCTGTGTCTGGGTCCTGTCGGCATGAATGACATCCACATTGATGCCATCATAAATGAGTTCATTGAAGAGTTCCTGGGCCCTCTCCTTGCTCTGAACGAACACCAGAACAGGCGGAGAAATTCCCCCAGCCACAATATTTCTAAAAGCCACGAGTTTTCCCCTCTCGCTCCCCACAAACAGCAGCTCCTGCTCAACAAGTTCAGTGGCTGCATTTCTGTGCCCAACAGTCACATTAATCAGGCCCCTGAGATTATGCCTGCACCACTTGGTGACAGCTGGGGTATTAGTGGCACTGAACATGGCTCTCTGGAGTTTTTCATTGGTGCAAGCCCTTGTGATAATTTCCAACTGTCCCCTGAAACTCCTGGTGCCATCTTCAAAGAGTTTGTCAGCCTCATCTACAACCAAAAACTCAACATTCGACAAATTGATGGCTGGTGGCTCCTGATTCAGAAGATAAATGAGCCTCTTCGGAGTTGTGATCAAGATATCAAATTTCTGGGAGCTCTTGGGCCCGTATTTATCCAGGGCCTGTTTAATTTTACTGATTATGTGAATGCGAAAGCCTCGACCCTCAGACAGTCTCGTGCATTCCCGATACGTCTGTTTCGCCAGTTCCCTTGTGGGACTGAGGATAATTCCCCTGAACCCCTGCTTCCTCGGCCCTTCGAGGTGGTGAATTATTGGCAGAAGAAAAGCTGCTGTTTTTCCGGACCCTGTAGGGGCACAGGCTAGGAGTTCCCTTCCCTCTAGGAGAATTGGAAGTGCCTGCATCTGAATGGCTGTGGGTTCCTTGTACCCGGATTTATTGAGATTCTCCAGCAAATCACCACCAACCCCATGAACTCTCAATTCATCAAATGAAGCGATTGGTGCTGGAATTCTTCGACCCACTACTGAGATCTTGTGGGAATTCCTGAACTGATTGATCTTCTCCTGCTGCTGCTGCAGCTCTTTCTCTTCAGTCGCAAGCTTTTTCTTCTTTGACGGCTTTCCTTTTCCCATGGAAACACCACTCAAGAGTGTCAACCCCTGATTTTTCGGGGTGTCAGTATCAGAATCGTTTTCAGGGCCTTCACCTGAGGCTTTTTGCTTCTCAGGTTGAGAAATCTCCTCAATCGCCTCAATTTTCACCCGAGACAAATCGACATTCTTCTCTAATTTCTTTCCGTACTGAAACAGAATCAATAAAAAATCGTCACCAAGAATTCTCATAAAGTGTCATCCTCCCAAATAATTAGTTAATAATTATTCAATGAATAAAGCACATGTTGTTGACATCCCCTTATAACCTTGAGTGATCGAAATTATCGAGACTCACCTGAAAGCACTCGGTGTCCTTCTTAAACCGTTTTTTATCGAATTTCGCACCCGCCGACAATTGTTTAAACAAATCAAAGGCATCCATTGTCACTTCGCTACTCAAATTCTGTTGAAAACTCAATTATCCCGGTATTCTGTTGAATTTACGGCGTGAAAACTCACGTGGAGTCGATTACTCCGCGCACGAACGCCGCAACCCGCCAATGCGCCATTTTGTGGTTGAATCCCCCAGCGGTGGGGGAAGTTACTAGTCCCCACCAGACAGGTTCAAACGTGTTTCGCCCTTCAACAACAACCGGCCGGACTTGCGTCGCTCATTTGTTATTACAAATAACATTATCAATGTAATATCAAATCAATTTTCCACTCGGTACGTTCCGTTACACCCGAGCAATTCCGATTTTCGGTATTTATCCATTTATTTATCTTTTTAAAAATCATCAAGGACTCGTCACTTGAGAATTCCATTGTTTCGCGTCGTGCCTTGGATTTTGGAAATTTTTTGACTTTTTTTCCCGGGAATTCGTCGATTTTTCACTGGAAAAACACCAAAAAATTGGTTAATACTCGAAATATTAATTAATGATTAGACAATAGGATCGTGGAATTGATGGATAAAATAATTACCCAGCATTTCCTCTCCTCTTGAATTTCGCGACGCACCGCCAATCCGCCATTTTGGGAATGAGTCGCCTAGCGGCGAGGAAAGTTACTCGACCCCCCCCCAGACAGGTTCAAACGTGCTTCGCTCTTCAACAACAACTGGTCGGAGTCGTGTCGCTCATTTGTTATTACAAATAACATTATCGTGTCATATCAAATCAATTCTCCACTCGGTACGTCCATTCCACCCGAGTAATTCCGATTTTCGGTATTTATCTATTTATTTATTTCTTTAAAAATGATCAAGGACTTGT